AAGGGAGAGATGGGAAGTGCTTACAAAAGCAAGTCTGTTGCAGTTCTAAGGAGCCAGGGTAAGCAGATATTCTTACCAGGCACTGCAGTGAGTCTAGAAGCCTGAATACTCAAGTTAAATGTTGTTTTTGAATCACAGTAGGTTCCAGTGAACCATTTCACTTATATTCCACAGATCCCTTCTGAAGTCACTCCCATGAAGTACATACATTTGACAGCATTTTATACAAGCAGGTCATCTATTCAACTTGCTAGTGATAAAACAAACAAGCCCTGGATCTATCCAGCCAGCCAACTAGCCTTGGATACTGCCCTTGGCTCACTGGATGATATGGAAGCAAGTTTCGTGGGTGCCATTCAGCAGAATGCTTTCAAGGGTAGAAACTTTCTGATGACCATCCTATGGATGTGCAAAGTTATTTTGAATTAGCAATTGTTACCGTCAGTATGATTTAGCAGCAAGAACATGTGGAAGATGTTATAATAAATATAGGCCCCGGTCACATGGCAAAATTGCCGTGGGAGAGGCACGGGAGTCCCGTGGATTTTCCAGGCGCGATCACACCCCAACATCTGGGAAGCGCAGTGCTCCCGTGGCGAACCCATGGCTCCCCGCCAAAGGTGCGGATTAAAAAACTAGTACTTACGAGGTACTAGTTTCTGGAAACCGCGGGCCAAGGGCGGGTGTCTGATCACGTTTCCGGTGGATTTACATGGCATCCAGCGCCCATCTCCGCAGGTTGCGCAACAGCGCCCAACAGTGCATGCGCACAAAGAGCTATTGCTAGTGTGACCACGCAGCGTGGCTTCTGTGCCGCACTGCAGGATACCCGTCTGGTCGGCATCTCCCCCCTAACCACGGGACCTCGATCGGGACATGTGCTCGGGCGGCCGGCGTTAGTTTCCTCCGGGGCAATTAGCCACGCCTCCCCCCCGCAATATCCGGCCCATGTGACCGGGGCCATACTTTCTTATACTTGTTGCCAGTTTCACTACAAAGGTTTGTTGGCTTACAATAGAGGCTTAACACTAGATGGTTACCCTATCATTCATGTGGCTGTAATGTATTCTCAAAAAGTTGTGATGAGGAAAGCCAAATATGACTGGATAGTGTGTTACCTGGAATGGCCTGATGGACCTTATGACCTGGGTGGGCTGAACTATGTTAATAATGTGTTTGTGCTTTCAGTGCAGTATCTGTTCACTAAACTTTGCAATGTAGTCATGATGGTGGCCTTTTTTAAATATCCGCTTTTGGGGCTAAAGACCTTCCTGAAGCTTCTGTTCATCCAACAGTGTGTCACTTTGGTTGCTTCATGCATCCATTTATTACCAGCATCTAGCCTTAAGCTTAAAGTAGAGCCAGATCTACAAAGGTTTTGTGAGTAAAAACACTTCCATTAAAGCACATAACCAAAGAACTCAATAGATTTAATTTTTTCTCTTTAGTTTTTTGTATGCAGAAAGGGCACAGTATGCCAGAATGGCTAGTGGAAGGCTTTATGATCCTGGTGTGTTTGTATCTAGCATTTTTAGCAACTATAAGGCTAGGAGTTTTGTTTTGCTTTTCCTGCTTCAGTAAGCAAATTCCCTTTTCCTAAGAATCAGCATGTAAACCACAATCTGCTTTAAATTTGTTAATCAGGTGTCTTATTAAATTGTTGACTTTAGCAAGCAATATGTAATGAACACAGCCACTGTATCTTGTTAGCATTTCCACAGCTCGTTTAGCACCAAGGGGGGGAAACCTGCATTGTTTCAGAATTATAATGCACTTTATGATACTAATCTGTATCAATGGTACATCATTTAATCTTGCTAATGCCAAAAGATTCCTTGGCAGGGTTATAAGGCAATTGATAGCTCATTCAGCCAGCGGACAGCTTGAACTTTGCACAAAATGTGGACAAAACTTATTAAAATGATCTATTTTGTTTTTCTTAAAGTGTTTGGCTGAGTGAAATGACTCTTTCTGGATAACAAAGGTTTTCAATTACCTCTGAAGGCCTCAGAATAGTTTGGATAAGGCCTCTAGGCAAAGAGGAATGAAACAATGCTATCACTCTCCAGTGAAAATGTGAAACGCTAGCTCTCTGAAAGTTTACCTCTCAGCAGCAGGCATGAGAAGCAGTCGATACAATTACAGCAGTGCTGTGTGAGCTTACAGTATAGAATAAATATCAGTTCTCTTAAAGTGTCTTACTTAGTTACCTAGTATGTACGTTAATCCTTGACACAGAGTAATTTCTTCAGAGCACACAACACATGAAGAGGGACATGATGCTATCAGCTGAATCATCATAGCAAGCAGAAAGAACAGCATACCTAAAAAGGGAAACATAAAAGGCATATATATCTTGGTATTGACATTATTTTTTATTCATGGCTTAATTACTGTTCAGCATGAAATAAACTTAAGCAGCAGTCATGTAACTTTTGAAAGACTTTCACTTAAAAATAATATTGACAAATTCTATGGGGTATAAAAGTAAGTATAGTTTTCAGTTTTTGAATTTTCAATTAAAAAAAATTCATTTCTAATAAATGAAACAATACAAAATACAATACATATGAAAAGCAGGATCAGATTTTGGAACGGCACCAGCCATGTTTCCTCTTCTGAGAGCTTTTAATGGATTTGAATTGCACTTATAGGAGCTGCAGTGGCTCAAGTGGTTAAGACGTTGAACTGCAGGCTGTGGAAGGTCAGTAGTTCAGCAGTTCGAGACCTGGGTGCTGCATGATGGAGTGAGCTCCCATCTCTAGTTCCAGCTCCTGCCAACCTAGCAGTTCAAAAGCAAGAAATTGCAAGTAGATAAATAGGTACCACTTCGGTGGGAAGGTAACAGCGTTCCGTGCGCCTTGGTGTTTAGTCATGCCGGCCACATGACCACGGAAACGTCTTCAGACAGCGCTGGCTCTTCGGCTTTGAAACGGAGATGAGCACCGCAACCCTAGAGTCAGACTCGACTGGCTTTCGAGCAAGGGAAACCTTTACCTTTACCTAAGCTCTATCTATATATTGAACACTGAAGCAAGTGACATTTACAAATCAAAGATGTCACATTTTTTAAAAAGTAATTAAAAAATCAGGAACTGAAAAAGAAGAACAGAAGAGAAGATTGGATTTATACCCCGCCCTTCACTACCTGAAAGAGTCTCAGAGCGGCTTACAATCCCTTCCCCTCCCCACAACAGACACCCTGTGAGTTAGGTGGGGCTGAGAGAGTGGAATCTCTGGTTTAGAAATATATTTGAATATGTGTGAAGACTATTAAGATCAATGAGTGTTTTCTCATTTTTAGAAACTTCAGTAATTTGGATAACGGAACACATCTTAATCAGATAGGAGACACTGGGCATCATGCAAGTTAGGTTTTGGATAAGACTGTATTTGTGAGGACATACAAAGAGCTCTAGTGGATCAGATCATGTGTCTGTCTAGACCCAGCTCCTGTTTTCAACAATCGCCAATCACGTGATTCTGATAATCCCATAAGCAGGGCACAAAGGCCAACAGTTCTTTCCATTTTTATTTATTTATTTTATTTATTTATTTTTGCTCCCAGCCACTGGTATTTGTGCCTTTGAATATGGAAGTCCCATATAAGCAACATGACTAATAGCCATAGATAGACCTATGCCCATTCTCCTTTCAAAGCTACCTCAGCCAATTACCATCATCACATCTTGTGGCAGCAAATGCTATAAGTTAATTATGCATTGTGTGAAGAACCATTTTCTTTTGTCTTTCCTGAATTGTCTGCCAATCAATTTAATTGGATGACTCCAAGTTCTAGTGTTAAGAGAATGGGGGGGGGGGGGAATGCGTTCTGTCTGCTTTGCCCACACTACGCATAATTTTATAAATCTCTATGATGCCTCCCCAATCCTTTAATCATTTTTCTGAACTGAAAAGCCACCAAACATTAGCATTTTCCATAAGGAAGGTACAATAATCCCTTGGTTATTTGGGTTGCTGGGACTTTGCTAGTTCTGTCATGACAACACCATAGATTTATATAAGATTTAAAAAAAACCTCTTTTCCTAATAATCTCTCATTATCACACATTGAATTAATGTTTTCATTGACTTACCTACAATGACACCAAGATCTCTTTCCTGGTTAGTCCCTGTCAATTTATACCCCATCAGTGTATATATGAAGTTAGGAATTTTTTGTGTTGAAATGTATATCAAAGTATACTTACTTAAGTTGAACCTCATTTGTATCCCATTCTTCCAATGATCTAAAGCCCTTAATGGTCCACTTTGATTCTCACTGTCTTGAATAATTTGCTGTCACCTGCAAACTCAGCTCCATCATTAATATCCTTGACTCCTGCATAAAATAACGCCTATCGTTTTTTTCTGTATTCATAGGAACAATAGCTGTTTTATCAACACAAGCCAAAGGGCCACCTGATTTTTAAGAAAAGGGTGCCTTTGCCGTGCACACCTAGTATGCAAGCCTATTTAATCATTAATAACAATACTCAGTGTGTAGAACAGTGAGCTCCTGAGAATAGCCACACATGGTCTGCAGAATGAAATTGCTCGGGTGGGAGGGAGCAAATGCCTCTCCTTACTGTCCCTAAATGGTGCTCTTAAAGTATTTCATTACTGGAGCTAGGAAACTCTTCTTACAGGCACATTATGTGCCCCTTAAAATCATACACGCACACAAGTACTTACTACACTTGGGTTTCATTGAGATGTTCGTTCTCTCAGATTTAAAATTATAGTTATTACAGCATATAAGAAGGTCCAGATGATGCTTTACAAAGGATGATGGGAAAAGAAGGGACAAAGAACACTGAAATGGTAAGAAAGCATACAAAACAGCTCACTCATCACAACTGTATATGCAAGCTGTTTTTCACTATCTGTAAATATATGGTTGACAATTTTAAAAAGACACAACAACCTTCTTTCTCTTTCTCTGCAATCTAAATGTCCTTAATTTCCACTGCATTCATTTTGTTATGATGTATTTTCAGGGAAGACCAGAATTTTCTGAAGTGGTCTCCAAATTAGAAGAATGTCTATGCAATATTGAGGTAACAACATAACCTGTGGTGATTGAGGGATGTGAATGCATAGTTCTGAGAAAGTGTGATGGCTGGCTGATTGCTTACAAAAAAATGTTGCAAGATAAGCCCCACGGTTTTCTCAAGCTGATTTGCCCAGCTGTAACCTAAGTTGGGCTATGTGAAAGAGATACAGTAAGTACTATTAAAAATTGAAACAAAGGCTAGCCCATCAGGAATGGAACCTGAGATCAAAAGTCCTCATTATTCTCTATTACTGTAGATAAGCAATAGTTTTTAAGACTCAAAAGTGATACAAAAGATCCAACATTTACAACAGGTACACATTCATTTTGTTAGTCTTTTTGTTGACTGTGGCTGAACTGAGACCACAGGTTTTTAAAGCATTGTAAAAGACTGCAACACATGTTTACCACTCACAATAGCAAAGATGAGTATACACACCATAGATAATTGTGTCTCTTTCATGCAATGCTAAAGAAAACTGTCTCAGTGGCTGGTCAAGTGTTCAAACTGAAGTAGCTGAGGTCCAAATCCATTACGAGATACACTGTACCATAAAGTGAAAATGCGGTGTGCGCATCACAGGTAACAAGACTTCTTATCATACCACCAACTAATTTTTTTAATCTATTATCCATCTCCCTCCCATGTTGGCAAAGATATAAACAATCCAGAAAAATTGAATTCAGAACCCTGTGCCTGTCATGCAGCATTTCTAAGCAGAGCTTTCTCATCTCAAAATCAGATCAGCATTTATACCTCAAAAGGGCCAAATTAGTATCCAGCCACTCTTGATGTCTAGCCTACTTTACTTAGAATCATTATCATCTGAAATGGTGCAAAGGGTGGAGTGTGCATTAATACAACGAGGACATGCAAGAAAAGGTTTGGAGGAGCTGAGCTCCCAGGGAGCAGCAAAGGTCCTTGCAAGATGAGCTTAATTAGCATAATGTGATTAAAATAAGCTTAGCATAAGCAAGATAGTCTCTACAAAGTGCATAAAAAGCTAGCACTATTAGTCCTTTGTTTTAGCTTTAAAATGTGGCCCAATGTTTTCTAGTGTCTTTGCTTCTGGAAAACATTGTGAATGAACCTCGGTGTTAGAATTCCCATACTAGTATCATTTGCTTTCAACATGGCCCAGATTTGTACGTGGAGGGAGAGAGACCTATCACTCTGGGGTGTTGAAATATTGGCGGCTTGGAGGGCAGCTAGTGTCTAATTTCTAAGAGTGGATTCTAATATAATTCTTTTGGATCCGCCCCCTCATCAGAGCCCTAAAAGGAGAACTTCTGGGTTTCATACCCCTTGAAACTCTACCACAGTGCCCCCTAACAGATGTGTGGGAGGTAGAATATTTGCTCAGGACTCCAAGGGCCTCTCCTTCATAGCCATTTGTCTCCTCATGTGCCAGACCTGCTCTCTGACATTTGAAAGCAAGTTCTGGGGATTGAACCAGAGGATTTGTCTTGAAGAAAAGTAAGTTTCACATGGGTGTTGAGAAAAGACTGGCTCAAATGTTTTCTAAGACAATCAGTTGAGTCAGATGAATTTAACTTCATTCTATGTCTCCTTTTGGCTTTTGGACAAGAGAAGATGACTGGTAAAACAGAAGTCATGTTTGATTTTAATGAACAGTTCCTGGAATACTCTTCTGCTCTATGCATGAGTTGGGAAAGTCTCCCCACAACTCTCAAAATATGTCACCATTCTTAAGCTGAAGGGCCAGAACAATGGCTTCCATCATATGTTTCATTTTTTAGGCTGCAGCTTCAGCTTCAAGTTACTTTGTGTTTAGGTGGAAGTGCTTTTAAGACCTTTTGGGATTTGAGGATAGGGTTTTTTGTTGTTTTTGTTTTGTTATTGTGGGGTTTTTTCCCCTAAGTTTGCTTTTGCTTTGTTTGTTTTGGAAAAGTAAAGCAATAGATCACCTGTAACTGTGGTCTCACAGGAGACCAAACTAGCTACTGTGATACATCGGCAGGAGTGCATATGAGATTAAATCTGGGCTGTGAGCTGGTGGAAGTCAAAGGAGGAAAAGCAATATTTGGGTAGCTGAAACCCATCACTCATTGGCAAAGTGACCCAAGGGTAAAGTTTAAAGGAACAAAGGTTGTATAAAGAGTAGGAAATCTTCAGAATCTTGATCGGCTATGTGAATAAGGACATTTTTTAGTTCTTCCCCTTCCCTTTTCAAAAAATGTTCCTTTTGATGTTCCCTTTTGAAAAGCTTCACTCTGAAACAAGACTCAGTGTTCTTCAGTTATTTTGTCACTCCTCAATATTGTTGCCTATATAATAATATATTCCTTTTTATTAGAAAAAGCAAAATCAAAAAGATCTACTGCTATCATACTGCAGACCTTATGTTCAAATGAAGAGTAGGGTTTTTCAGTCAGTGGTTCATCATTATATAAACATTTTTGTCATGGCAGTTTTGTATGGTCAGTATGTCCCTCGAAAATGTCTGCATATGGTGAGATCCAACAGTTACTTCATATTATAGCTACTCTGGCCTTGTTAAGAGAAATATTCTTCAACCCTGCATGAGAGGGAAGCAAACCTCAGTCTTGGACACAGCCTCACTTGGCCCCATCAAGGTATCATTATGGATAAAGGAAATGTCCGCATCCAGGATCTCCTTTCAACCTAGCTATGGAGAGCAGTTTCAGGGAGATCCCAGGAAAATCTGGTATTGTGTCCATTCATTCAGTACTTTCTATTTAGGAAAGATGGGAAGAGGAGGGGAGGGGATACCCAAATCTAAAGTTTATCTGCCTTTCATTGTAGATTTTTGTTCCGTCTAGAATATTAATTGGAATTCTAATTGGAAAGCTTGTAAAGAATATCCTTTAAAAAGCAAACAAAACAAAACCCCAGTCCTTAAACATTTGCCCTGTGTATCAGATGGGAAGTACTGTTGAGCGTACAAAATGTGTAGTATCTCTCATATAAAATTGAGTAGTGGGGTGGCACTTTCTGAACATTCCACATGCCCCTAAATCAGTTGGCTCCATGATGTGTCACTCAGAAGGTGTCCCTATCCACTGGCTGCATTGCCTGAGTCCCGCCCACAGAGGCGGCGCCTGCCAAAACTTTCCTCAGAAGATGGTTGCTTCGCTCCAGTGAACACAGCTACTGTCTTCTCTCTCCACGCCAGATGACAATTGATTCCCTCAGGGGACAAAACCCACAGTCTTTAGCCTCCAAGCCAAGTTTGCTGAGGCAACACTTTTCAGAATGGAAAAAAACCCCACCAAGTAAACAGCTGTCAGCGTGGTGGAGGCAGGGGGGGAACCAGCCTTAGTTATCACAAAAAAGCCAGTGGATAGAAGATGGGACCAGACACACAGAAAACTGGAAACCAAAAATCCGAGGCATGCTGCGAAGCAGAAATACAGACACACTCATAGACAGATTTGCGTAGGCACATACAAACAGGAGGAGTGCAGGACCAACTGGCTGAAGTGGAGAATGTCATATACATTTAAAAAATACAGAGAGTGTGCGACACTGGGATAAACCCTCACATCTTTCTAAAGCTCGTTGTATTGCTTTTACAACGAGCTTTACTGCTAGTATTATATAAATATATAATACCACATTCTCAATTGTTTACAGTTGATACACTCCCGACTTGCAGAACCAGGCCTCAGAAAGACCTGATTCTGTTTATTTCTGTCTTTTTTTCTAGGCAGCAGTCCTGGTTTCCAGCTATTACAAAAATACGAATAAAAGTTTTCATTGGTCTTACTATTGACATAAGATGACATTAGTCAAATGGCTAAGGAGACGGCATTATACTAATAATTAAAGTGTCTCTACTTGATTCAATAAAAAGGAAGTCATCCCTGTTCCTAGCTCATAACCAGAGACAATGAGTGAAGGGCCTTTCCCTTGCCTACATACAGAGGTTGCATATGAATGGGATCCCATTCCCTTTAACAAGAAATATCACAGAGTGCATTTGTACAGGTTACAATGACTGTCATCCCCTTGGCAACCAATTTTATATAAACAACATCGAGCATGATGAGAGCAGTAAGAAGAGCAGCAAGGGTATTTGTGACATACTGCAAGTGTCGAACGCTGCTGTCAGCCCTTCTGGCAAGACTCTGCAGTTGTCATAAGTGGATACTGACAATGTCCCCTTTGTTCAATCCAGCTAATGTCTCCAGCCTCCAGCAACAGCAGTGGTTCTCTTTCTCCTTCTTCTTCGTCGGATTGCCTGGTTGCTCGAGGGTGCCCTGGTCGTAGCCATGTTGCTGCTTTGCGTAGCCGCTTTGAGTTGGAATACGCCTTGAATGCCAGAGCTTATGCTGTCTGGTCTCAAAGGTAAGAACTCAGAAGGAAGAATTCCTTCCTTGACTCTAGTAAGTTATCTGCCTGTAACTTATTCTTGACTGTTCAGTTAAATCCCGACATCTAGGAGAAGTTGTCTGGAAGCATCACAGAATTAAAATTACTCTTTATTCAGGGAGACAAACAACCAACTTTTAGTGTTTCATACCACGCAGGAGATGGAAGCAGAAATAGCTCCAAAAAAGCTCCCCCCCCCCCACCTACTCTGGGTTCTAGATAGTCGAAAGAAAGAAACTGGTAAAATATTTTGTGTAAGATCTCCTTTGCTCATAGCATGAATTCCATAATTGCTGGATTTTTGGTTTTCCTTCTCACCATGGATCCATTTCACACTAGTGTTTTGTTTGATCTGATGTGGAACTGATATTGATTATCTCTTCCATGTGCTCTCTTTTGCTTTACCTGTTGCCCACCCCTCTTCCCATTTTGTGCAACATACCAAAGGTGAGTGGAACAGCAAGAACTCCAAGGGATGCTGTGAGAAGGAGGCCCCAGTTGTTGCAGCAGGGCCAAGAGATGCTGTGGTACACCCTTGTGCAGGGTCCAAGGATACTGAGAACCTTGGGAAATTTAATTGCTGTGCCTCCTGGCATCCATGGATGTCTCATTTCAAGTAAATTGCATGAAGTGGGGCACTGTCAGGGATTGCCCTGCTTAATGCTGATGCAGGAACTGAAGTCCCTGGGGCATGGCTTATCCCGGAGCCTAGCGGCCCATCAAACAACCAAACCTAAACTAGGGTTTGATTAATATTTTGGTTCTTTACTAGATGTTAGACAAATTAAAACAGTTACTCAGATTGTTTCTGGAGAGGTCTGTCCAGCATTTCTTTACATATTAGACTGGTGACAGATTTGCAGCTGAGAAGGCGAATTGTGATTCCATCTCCATGGACAGCTGTTTGAACTTATTTGAACAACAAATGTATCTTTTGGGGTAGATGTTGGAGGTGTAGTAAAAATCAACTTGAGCCACATGGGAACCATTTTACTCAAATAGACTCCCATGCCAGAACAGATCTCATATAATTGAACTTCACATGGAATCCCACGTCATTGAACCTCATGTGGAATATCACTGAAAAGATAGCTATGTTCCACATCAGATCCTTGCAAGTGTATTTACAACAGTTTATACAGCCTTAAAACTACGACCTGCAAAGTGGTATAACTCTGAGTGAAACATGTATGCACGAATACATCAGAACTGGTTTAAACAAACATTTTATATGAGACAGTTCTGAAACAGCACCCTAGAGGAGAAGAGATCCATTCTGGAATGAAGAGGCTTAGGCCTGTCATATTAAAAATATTAACCTGACTACAAATAGTTATCAAAGGAAAAAGAAAGAGTGACAACAGAAGTGAAGGGAAAACAACTGAGGTGGGATGGTATTAGAGAAAATCTTATATTAGTTTCTCTTTTGTGGTGTAGATAATAGATTTGCATGAAAAGAATGAGCGAGTGACACATTTAGGTTACAATATAGATACCCAAGAGGGGAAGAAAAGTAGTTATCACAGCAGCCTCCCTGCTACTGTAATTTAATGTTCATCTCAGTGTGCCACCCAAGCTCATTAGCTTGCTGAAATGGGTTCCTGTATAACCCAAAGGGTTACAGAACAGTTTCCCCCCTAAAATTCTGTGCAATACAAATTAACTAACTCCAGTCCTATAAATAGAACACTGAAAGAGTTACCCAGAGGCAAAATGTAAAATAAAATGAAGATGGTTTTTGCAGATTCAGTGTTTTTGTTCAATTATACAACATACTGAGATGATTAATGACCTAGCTTTCTAATGACAATGGTTTCTTGAGGCTTTAATTTTTTTAAAACATACAAATTGAGAGGCAGGGGTGTGATTCTGTACAATACTGTTATACTGTATTGTTACATTTTTCACCTCTTGCAGTCAGTTTTAGCTACCCAAAGTAGGATACCATGCTCCCCTTTGTTTAGCTAATTTCACTGTGTGCCCCTCTAACGGCACCAATAAGGGGGCACAGGTTAAAATCCAAAGAATCCCTTTAGATGTTAGACTTTGGGGCAAGCACCCCCACTTCTCACTCTTCCTCTGTGACCCCACCCCACCTAGCATAATGTCAGAAACTGCTTTTAAAGCTTTTGAACTTTTTGGCAGTATGTGGAGGCTGCTGTTGGAAGGAGGAGGAACCAAGCTGGAAAGGCAGAAGTCTGAAAGAAAAAGATGGTTGGTATTAAAAATGATTCATTTGCTCACAGGGACAAGACTGCTGCCCTGGAAAAAGCCATTCCTTGTATTCTGGAAAGAGAGGAGAGTAGGCAGATCCCCAGTAAAAACATTTGTGTCTGAAAATTAACATCAGTGTGGAGAGACAGAAATTTAGAATGAACTAATTTCTTTTTTGAATCACTGGTTTGTTTGATTGATGGATATATCTCTTGCAGTGTCACTGTTAAAAGTACCATTTGGTTTAACCATGGTAAATAGTTTTAAACCACAGCTCAAAAACTGTCAGATACTGGATCAGAGTGGGTACTGGGAAGGTTAGAAAAATAGCCCGTGGTCAGATAAAGGGAGCAGTTATTGTATACCTTTCTAAGTCACTTTCCCAAAAGTTACCCATGTTATCTTGAACTGTCACTGGGATGTGGGGGTGCCGCACCACTTCCAAATACACTATACCTGAGTAAGGATGGTGAAGGAGTTTCTGCTGTTTTGCTATGGCTTTAAGCTAATACATAAAATGTATACGATGCAAAGAGAATCTGGCCAGTAAGGGGGAAAGGCAGATAGATATTAAAGAAAGGATGGAGCCACACACTGAATGTATTCATATTAGCTGAAATCACTGTGGGCAGATACTGGAACACTGCCTTACCTGAAAGATGGGTGATCGGATGAGAGTTAGGAACCTCCAGGAGTTTCATCAGTGTGCCTTTTACTCCAAAGATCTCTCTCTCTGTTGTCATTAGCATGTTTTCTTGTTTCCCCCTGTACTTAACTTGTAAGTTATATCCACATTTGGGGCAAGTCAACCCCATAGCCACAAGTTTCGTATGGTTTATGTTGGCTTCTAAGAACCAGCCTTCTCTCATTTGGTTGGGACTCACAACTGCTCCCTCTGTCCCTTTTTGTTTGCTGGCCCTATGACTGGGAACCAAACCCTTCCTAAATCCTGATTTTTGCCTGTGTTTGTCTTCAGAGCTGCTTAAGCCGTCATTTGGTGAACAATGTCACACCTTTCTCTTGAGTTTACTTGCTGCCCAGCTGCATCAGTGTTGAAGTCCCTGTTGGATCTCACAAATTGTAGATGTCTTGCTCATTCTTTCTTGCTATTGCTTCCTCCTCTCTGCTTTACCATCTGAGGAGGCTTTGTTCCTATACTTGTGTTTGAAATCAGTCTGTCATCAAGAGGTCTACTCATCCCCCCTCCCATCCAGGTACTTGCGAACAAACTTTGAATGTTACTTGTATTCTGTTTGGGCTCTTTTCTACTTCCAGTTTTGCAAAGGCACTTCACTACCCAATCAAGGATCATTACTGCTATTGTGTAGGACAGGAGCGTTTTCGGTGGCAGCTCCTATCTGGTGGAATGAGCTCCCAGAGGAGATCAGGGCTCTGCGGGACCTAGCACAGTTCCGCAGAGCCTGCAAGACGGAGCTCTTCCGCCAGGCTTTTGAATAGGAACTGCCGCCACCACCAGTATACCACCAACGCATCAGTATACCATCAACACCCTGGAATTCCTGGAATCCCCGGAATTTCCGGTATATGGACATCTGGATATGGGCATGGACCATCAAAGCCCTAAAAAAATTTTGCATCATGGGCGAGAATGGGACGTTCAGAGGACTGCCATCCTGTTTTTAGATAGTCTTGCTTTAGAAAGGCTATAATTTGTGATGTGCTTTTAATATTTTGTATTGTTTTTATTGTTTTTTTAGCTATATGCTTGTTAGCCGCCCTGAGCCTCCGGGGAGGGCGGGATAAAAATGTAAATAATAAATGAATAATAAATAAATAAATACCCAACATGGCACCAGTTGGCATCTTGGTGCCACCAACACCTTTCCTGTAACTCACCAGTGTTTTCAGAAAGTGGGCAGGGCCAGGAGGGGCTTTTGCCCAGCAGGGTTTTGATTGGGAATTAGAGATCTAATTATCTGCGTATATTGGGGTTCCCGGGTATAGGGCATTGCTTGAAGGATTATTGGATCCGGGAAAGCACATACAAGTTCTGTTCCCCAAAACATTTTGCTTTAGCCCTTGTTAAAGTCCAAACCAGTAACTTTATAGCTAAGAGCAGAGTGAGAAGATGGCTGGGAAGGAAGGATAGTTTCTCTGCACTGGATTCCTGAGAGCTGTTTTGTAAATGTGTATTTCTTTCATAGAACAGGAGCATAGACAGACATGTATTTTGGAACCTGAGTACAAGATAACATCTGCTACCTGAGAAAGGGGCTGAATTTTATTTACCTATTTACTTCAGTTATGCCCCACCTTTCTCCCCAGTGGGAACCTGAAGTGATATCATTCGCCTCTCCTCCATTTGATTCTCACAACAACCGTGTGAGGTAAATTAGGCTGAAAATATGTGACTTACCCAAGGTCACCCAGGAAGCTTCCATGGCAGTCCTAGGGACTGAGTCTTCCAGATCCTAGTCCAACTTTCAAACCACCACACCACAGTGGTGTAGAGAAATTATTTTATTTAGAACTTGTGAGACCCGTATAAAGGGGTATTCAGACTTCCTCAGATGTGTTGTTCATGGCAGCTGAAATTTTTGAGGCATCTTTGTGTTGCCTGAACATATGTAGAGATTCCAAGTATGTGCCCTGAAAAAGGGAAGAGGCTTGAATACAGGAAACAGAAAAGCCTTCTATGAAAGATTAGTTTCCTCCCACAGACTGACCCTTGACATTGTTGTTAAACAGCTCTTTTTACTTCAGAGTAAGCAATGATACATCTGAAGTGTGCTTGCACACTA